AATTGGTGTCACTCTGCTACGCCCACCAGCCAATCAGGATGAGTATGCAAATTAACCCAACAAAGATGGCGGTTAATTTGCATATGCAGGTGCGGAGCAGAGACTGAAGACAACTGAAGACTGAAGAGGCTTGGCTTCTCTGCTGCGGCCAGAGTGGAGAAGCCAAGCCTCACTGCTGCGGCCCGAGTGGAGAAGCCAAGCCTTGCTTGGCTCTAGGCTTGGCTTCTCCGCTGTGGCTGGACCAAAGGCCTGGGTCCCGGGTGCCAGAGGAAAACCGGTGCCAGCAGCCAGGGTAAGGAAGGCCTATTGCGCGAATCTTCATGCAACGGGCCTCTAGTTATATAATAATAAAAAGTCAATTCATCATGTGGATATAACAATTATAAATACATATTCATCTAAAAAAGGCAGCACCTAAATATGTTAAGTAGATACTAACAGATATGTAGGGAGAATGAATGAAAAAATATTATTATAATAGTGGAATTCAATACTCCCCTTTCAACATTGGATAATTCATCCACACAGAAAATCAATAAGAAAACATTGGGTGTTAACTGTACCTTAGAAAAATGCACTTAACCTATAAATACAGAACATTCCACCTATCATCAGCAGCATACATATTCTTCTCCAGCAGAAATGGAACATTCTCTAGGATAAATCATCTTTAGATCACAAAAAAAACCTTAGCAAATCTAATACAATTAAAGTTATGCCAAGTATTTTTTATGAACACAATGGTTTGAACTAAAAATCAATAATAGGAGGAATACTGGAAAATCCACAAATGTGTTGAAATTAAACAACATACTCTTAAACAACCAATAGGTCAAGAAAGTCAAAAGGTATATAAAAAATACTTTTAAAGAAAAATGGGAACACTCCATACTAAAACTTATGAAAGGCAACAAAAGCAGTTCTAAGATGGAAGTTTATAGCTCTAAGTGCCTACATTAAGAAAAATGAAGCTCACAGGTAACCTAAATATATACCTCATGAACTAGATAAATGAGGACTAAGCTCAAAGTTGGCAAAAGAAAAAAAATAACCAAGACCAGAATAGAAATAAACAAAATAGTGACTAGAAAAACTATTAAGAAATCAATGAAGGTAAGAGCTTGCTTTTTTGAAAAGTTCAGCAAAATTGAAAAACTTTCAGCTAGACTACGTACAAAGAAGACCCAAATAAATGAAATCAGAACTAAAAGAGAAAACATTATAATTGACACAACAGGAATACAAAAGATTATAAGAGACTACCATGAACATTATATGCCAAAAACGTTGGATAATCTAGAATAAATGGATAAATTCCTAGAAACATGCAACCTTCCAAGACTAAATTGTGAATAAAAATTTGAACAGAACAATAGCAAGTAAGGAGATTAAATCAGTAATCAAAAACCTCCCAACAAAGAAAAGCCTAAAACCAGATGGTTTTAACTGATAAATTCTACCAAACATTTCTAAAATAATGCTAATTACTCTCAAACTCTTCTAAAAAAATTGAAGATGAGGGAACATTTCCAAACTCATTTTATGAGGCCAGTATTACCCTTTTAACAAGCCAGACACTACAAAAAAAGAAAAATAGAAAACTACAGACCAATTTCTCTGAAAATAGATCAAAAAATTCTCAACAAAATACTAGCAAACTGAAGTCAATAGCACATTAAAAGTATCATACACCATGATCAAGTGGGATTCATCCCTGGAATGCAAGGATGGTTCAACATGCACAAGGCAATAAATGTGATACACCACATTAATAGAACAGAAGATAAAAACCAATGGTCATTTTAATAGGTACAGAAATTTTTTTTAAAATCAACATTTTTATGTAATAAAAACGCTCAACAAATTGGGTATAAAAGGAATATACCCCAATATAATAAAGGCCATATATGACAGACCTATAGCTAACATTATGCTAGATGGTGAAATGTTATAAATCTTTCCCAACTGAAATCAGGAACAAGACCAGGGTACCCTCTCACCATTCCTATTTAACATGGTACTTGAAATTCTTGTCAGAACAGTTAGGCAAGAAATAAAAATAAAAGGCATCCAATTGTTGTCTAAGAAGTAAAATTGTCTCTGTTTGCAGATTATACAATCTTAGATGTGAAAAATGCCAGAGACTCCACCAAAAAACTCTTAGAACTAATCAACCAATTCAGGAAAGTTTCAAGATTCAAAATTAGCATACAAAATCAGCTGTGTTTCTATACAGTAACAATAAAGTATTTGAAGAAGAAATTTTTAAAAATCCAATTACAACAGCATCAAAAGCAATTAAATACTTAGGAATAAATTTATTTATTTTTTTAATATATTTTATTGATTTTTTACAGAGAGGAAGGGAGAGAGATAGAGAGTTAGAAACATCGATGAGAGAGAAACATCGACCAGCTGCCTCCTGCACATCTCCCACTGGGGATGTGCCTGCAACCCAGGTACATGCCCTTGACCGGAATCGAACCCGGGACCTTTTAGTCCGCAGGCCAACGCTCTATCCACTGAGCCGAACCAGTTTCGGCAGGAATAAATTTAAACAAGGCTGTGAAAAATTACAAAACATTGATGAAAGAAATTGAAGAAGACACAAATAAATTGAAAGCTATCCCATGTTTGTGGATTGGAAGAATATTGTTAAAATGTCCATACTACCCAAAGCTACCTATAGATTTAATGGCAGTTTTCACAGAAATAGAAAAAAAATCCTAAAATTCATATGGAACCACAAAAGACCCCGAACAACTAAAGCAATCCCGAGAAAGAAGAACCAGGCTAGAGGCATCACACTTCCTGATTTCAAACTATATTACACACTTATGGTAATCAAAATTATTTGGTACTGGTACAGAAAATGGACACATAGACTAATGGAACAGAATCAAGAGCTCAGAAATAAGCCCATACATATATAGTCAACTAATATTTGACAAGTTAGCCAAGAATACTACAAGGAGAAAGGATGGATAGTCTCTTTGATAAATGGTGCTGGGAAAAACTGGATATTCACATGCAAAAGAATGAAATTGGACTCCTGTCTTACACCACTCACTATAATTAACTCAAAATAGATTAAAGACAAAAGACCCCAAACTAAAATTTCTAAAAGAAAACATAGGGACATGGCATTAGTTTGTTTTTTTAACTATGTATTGAGTTGGGGAGTACGGCTTAGTGGTTAGACAATCATATGCTTTACATCGCGTTCACCATGATGTTTCCAGTTCCCAACTGACACCATTCATAATTATCACAATATTATTAACCGAATTTCCTATGCTTTACTCACTTCCCCTAGATATTTTGTAACTTCCAGTTTTTGCTTCTTAGTCCTTTCACCTCCTTCACCTAGTGCCCCAACATTTTCTCCCCTCTGGCAACCACCAGTTTTCTATTTCTATGAATCTGTTTCCATTTTGTTTGTTCCTTTATGTTGTTCTTTGTATTTCACACATAAGTGAAATCATATGGTATTTGTCTTTTTCTGACTTATTTCACTGAGCATAATGCCCTCTAGGTCCAGCCCATGCTGTTGCAAATGGTAAGATTTCATTCTTCTTTATGGTCGAGTAATATTCCATTGTATATATGTGCCACAACTTTTTTATCCCCTCGTGTATTGATGGCACTTGGGTTACTTCTATAGCTATTGTAAATAATGATGCAATGACCATAGGGA